AGGTGAGTTTGTGGAGTGCTGAGTCACCGTCCTGTTCAGAGGATACCTGCACCTGAATGAGACCCCGCGCTGTGGCCCAATCTCCCTTCTACGTCACCTTCCGCTTCAAAACAACCTGGCACGTTTGACCTGCCGGTAGCCGTAGAAAGTCTTCTGATTGCGCGGAATCTATCGCCGCCGCTGCCGTGCACGCTTGTGTCACACCTGGTGAATATGGCCTAATCTCTACAACCACATACGGCTCCAAAGCTGGTGGGTTGACGTAGTTAACATTCTTGTCGAAAGAACACGCTCCGTCAGTACAATAATACCGAACCTTCCAGGCACCAAACCTACGTTATCTGGCTAGCCATGCCGCGTGACTGGGATCACTCAGCACCGGCCTGTAGCTACTCTGCATCCTGCTACGGCAATGTCTGTGCCTGCATGCATTTGACTTGGAGAACGCTTTTTGTACGAAATTCAGCTGCTGGTTTTTTTGCGTGAGAGGAGGGGCCGGCAGCACCGATGGTTTTTGTGCAAGCGGCGAGAGCGGCATCGTTGGTGTTCGCGGTGGCCGGAAAGACACCAGCGCCACCGGTTCTGATGGTTTGCACTCGCTGAGGATACCATTCGCATGTATCCAGGTACTGTACGCCGTACTAGATGCGAGCGAGAAATTTATCCAGATGCGCGACGCGCACCGTGGAGCGTTACCCTTCCCCTCCTCACACTCTTTTTCCCCTATTTGGCATAGGTTGCTCGCTCATCAGCAGTGGGGAACCGCGCTGCGGGTTCTTTGCCTTGTAGACTGTGACCCAGCTCTGAGGCGTGGCGATGGCGGAGAACGTTGTTCGCGGGTGATTTTTCAGCGCCGGGATCTGCTCAATTCTGTGCAAAGGGTACACCGAGATCCGCAAAAGCTGCAACAATACAGCGACGCATTGGTGTAATTTCGCGCCCTGGCTACTCCGTTCTGTGCGGAAGCTCCTCCTCCTCCTTGCCTACCTCGTGATGGCTCGAAGACCTACCTGTACTGATTCTTCTACACGCCGTGATGTGGCCCGAAAGTCTGATACTCTGGAAGCTGTGGGAGATGGCCGTAATACGGATGATTGGTAACGGATGGGGAGGTCCCGGTACAAAGCTGGGAAAATTGTGTGGTCTGACACTTCAAAATCCCGCGGGACGCTGACCTCGTGCTCGCCTATGCGTACCCGTCCCAGGCATACACAGTGTATTGCATCCAGTGCCGCGCCCGTGGGTGCCGCGCTTCAACGAGTTGAGAGGGATAAGATGTTGTTTACCACCTACCTTCACATACTCACTGAGAGCTAATTGGTGGCTGCTTAACCTAGGAGAAGCAGGCATGCTTCGTAAATGGCCGGCAGCCATCCTTCTCAGCACTGCACCTACGCCCCTGCTCAGCGCCCGTGTGTAGCAAGTGCTGAACAATTGATCCGGAACACCGCATCCTCCGCCTCCTGCTGCCTTACTACCTCTACCTGCAGCCGTCATAGGCGCTGATGCTATCACCCCCATCGCCCCCGTTTCTGGTTGTCAAGCAGACGACATATATCCAAAATATCCTGCTCCTGCAGGCATGGCCCCCTCCAATGTCCCCTCGGCCGTGCATTGTGAGTTTGAACTGACCGCAACATGGGACGAAATCTCCGCCTCCAGCGCCGACCATCGAGTTGCAAGCGTTTTTGCTGTATCTGGCCACGGGATGACCTGTGAATTGCCGTCCGCGGGGCCGGGCGGTATCCATTCCCGACGGAGCTGGGAGGGCTGGTGTTATTCAGGTGGAGGTATAGCTGAAGGGGTTCCGGTACCCCGCTCCTCCCCGCCATCAAACCAGGGGTATCCGTCGTACACGCTCTGAACGTCCACCATGAATCGCGGCTAGGTGAACATACCCAGCTGGTTCATCTCCCTAGCGAGGCTGCAGTCCTATATATCTCCCAAGATGAGTCAGAAACGGCACGAAGAAATCGCTTACCTGCAACCACCTTGTTCAACGGCTTATGACATCGAAGCTGGATACCGCGCCCGCCCCTGCACCACTGCATCGTCATGATCGGCGCTACCTGGCCGCAATGCGGCCTGCAGCAGATGCTAACCATCCCCCTACCAACGCCCAGCAACATCGCTTTCACCACTTTGAAGCGGGGCCGATAATTGCACGCAACGATGTCAACGGTAGTTATTTCACTCAATATGTGTGCTTCTGCAGGTCATGGACGGGCTGGCACTGATTCAGCCGGCAGACGCATTCGACGGTGCAATACGACGGCGTTTCCATCGGCTCGTACAGGTTACAGCGAACTCTAGCTGAACGAACGAATCTACGGGGCGCTGGCAATAGAAATCATTACCAATTACGGAACCCAAAGCTCATCTGCGCTTTGTTTATTGGCGCAGGTGTTCACAGAGAAGCTGGCGGTGATATAGGCCCCTCACACGCTGCATCCAGAGCCACTGCTGCCGTATGCCCTGGGCCTGAACTCTGACAGCCATCGCTGATATACTGATATATTCGCCTCAACCTCGTCGTATAGCTCGGAGTACCGATCCCTGTTCGCGTCAATGCTATTACATCAATGCTCTATTACTGCCAGCCGTGGGCCTGCTGGCGTCGATTACAATTGACATCACCTGGGCCTGCCTGATCAAGCTCCGGTGCGCTCAACCTCTCGTACCGTTCTGAGCGGTACACCCGGTGCCGGTATACGCAGTTTCCCACACACTCAGAAGATGACTCAGCAACACTCCGATCCTAGGATCAACGGGTCGCTGGTAACAAACTTGCGCATGTTGCCGTCCTGCTACATCCATCGCCCACTGTAGAGCCGTGACCTGCTATGCTTGGTAAACGAGATGGATTGAGTACCGTCGTCGCAGCGCTTGCTTGCTGGTTCTCAACTGGCTTGGCTGAAATCTATGGCCTCTTCAACCCCACCCATCGACTCCATCACCATAGGTACCTAATCGCTGCTTGAGCAGCGGGAAAGCGTCGCGGGCCTCCTGTGCGTGCTGATGCTGTCTGGGTTGCCGCTCCTTTCGATGCGTCGGTCAGGAATGGTAGGACCCCCACGCCAGCCCAGCAGTATCGTGTGTGATGTGGTCCAGGTCCGGTCCGCGCTCAAGACTGGTCGGGCTGGACTGTGAGGAACACTGCCGCCCTCTAACCCTAAGCCCTCCGCCCCCGGACGCCCCGCTCGCGTGGAGAATACCATCGCCCCGCAGCATCGTCCCGCTTCCCCGCAGCGTGCTGCCCCGTCACGTTTTACGCCCGCGCGCTCCCGCCCACACTCTCCGCGGCCGCGCGCCACTTCGACCCGTTTTGCAGTCCGTTTAGACCCCCTGAGACCCCGTTTCGGCTGCTGCATGGGGTCGTGAGGATGAAGGACCTGCCGCAGGAATGGCCCCTCGTTTCTGCGAGGGGGCGTGCGCGTAAGCAGGGTAGCATGGAGGGTCGGGTCAAGGAGGAGGGCGCGGCGTGAATCGAGACCTCCTGTATTACGCAGCATAGTGACTTCGTGCGTAAAAATCTACAGAGCTCGTCAGGACGGGGGTTTTCGATGCGGGGTCGTCCGCGCTGCGATGCGCCGTCTACCATCATCAGCCCCCGTGAGGAAGCGTAAAAAGGAGGTGCTGTGCCAAAATGGAAGATTCCAGATGACCTAGTCGAATACTGACAACATCATACTGTCGTTACTGTGATTTGCTCCGTTGCTTTGGTAAGGGAATACGTAGGACAAAACCATGCTGAGAGCGATAATCCTACGTCACACGGTGCTGCTTGCTGGGTAACAGACGTCGGCCTACCTCACCACGATGACCGCGCGCGGATTCCACCCACTCGTGCCGGCGTGGCCACGCTCGGTGCGTTGTAGTCTGCACGGCCAACGCCCCCCCCCCCCCGCTGCCATGTCGCGTGAACATCCTCGTTGACAGAGCAACTGGTTATATGCAATGTTAGGAAGCGACGTGATTGCTTCAACATGTAAAAATGGGCCCAATTGGACCGTACCACAGTTCTACGAAGACATACCTGCCGCTACGCTGGCTCCACATTTTGGGTCTCCACCCGGTTTTGGGTAATTTTGGCCTCATGCATATCCGCCCATACAGAGAGATAGAGAGTGGTTTCAGAGCTTCCCATCGTGCTGTTCGCTTGCCGCCTAGTTTGGCCAACGAATGGCGTCGTGGAATCCGGTTCAAATCTAACACCTACCCGCACTAAAAGGCTCAAGCCGAAGCCCGGCTCAGAGTGCAACCGACTTCAGCCAGCTCGGCCCACCAGCGATTCGGCGGATGGGCCATCGATGCTGACACCCATAGGTATCCAAATCCACGTCCGTAACTTGACATAGTGCTGCACCCGGCCACCAGCAAATATCTTACTGCCATGGGCTGAATATTTGCGCAAGATCGTACACACACTGCGGATGGGATAGTGATTGTTGATTCGTGACGTGACATGATCTGTACATAGATACACAAGTGAACATCCGTGTGGTGACCACACGGTGTGCAATCATCGGTACAACGCCACTTAATGTAAAGTTATAGGTACGTTTCAGCCTGGGCGGATGTTTGTCCTCCACGGCGCAGTCAAGTAAACCAAGGAGGTAGGTGGTTGGGGTTGGGGAGGCAAGGCGGTTTCACTTCACAGCGAGCACCCGCACGGATAAATATAATGCTATTTCATTTCACAACTGTCTACAAATGTAGGGTGTGTACAGCAGCGTGGTAGCTCTGAAATGTCGCCGCTAAAGCTTCTCCACGGCTCCGCTCTAAAATGGGAGAGTGAACCTGTCGCTGCCCTCCAAAATTCGACGGTCGGAAACTTAGGGTAGGACGCCACGCAAACTGCGTTATATACGTATAGATAGTAGTGGGCCTTCTCATCGCAATAGTACCCGAAGCCAACGGCTGGGTCATATGCCCGCCAGGCTACCGAGTTATCCACCATCATGAGCACCGGAAGCACGGACAATTGAAAAGAAAAAAGATGTTCCCACCGCGATTCAAACCCGGATTTGCCTATCGGGCTCCAATATCATTGGGAGGCACTGAAGGGCCGCACGCTCTACCGTTGAGCTATGCGCACTTGGGATGTTATTGTGAACTTTTGAACGCCCATGGAAACCTCACAATGATCAGCACCGGAACGTGAAAATTGGAACTGTGAATAGGACAACAAGAGGAGCAGATTAGGACAGACTCAACCCCACCACCGCACAAGCGCAGCTGGGTAAGCGCCAACAACGTTGGCGACAATCATAAAAATATAGTCGCTGTTACCTGGAGACTAGGAGAACTCGGAACAACATTGCCAACTGTTTCGAGTGTAGCTATAAATCCCGTGCAGTTCTTTGTGGTCAGGAAAAATAACAGCGATGGAGATTGGACGGCTGGGGCGTCGAGTGAAGTTTCAGCAGTTGGTGACAACCCCCGTCTGTAGATATGCTTGGAATATCTATAGCTCCGTGGCATTCTTATAAGACAAGCAAGCAAACAGTTACTCAATAGCCGGACGCGGTGCACGCACACAGCTGAGGACGATCAGAATGTTACCTTGTCATAAATACAATCACAAAAACCAGGGATGTATCATTACCGGACAGATAATGCGTATGTGGAAACGCCTGAGCAGTCCGGGGTGTGAATGAATGAACTGAATTCTCCCACAAGTACCGGCTGTCTGTACAGCCCAAAGGACTGTCGTAGTTGTGAGCATACGTATTGGCGCTGTTTACGATTGTTCGAAGTGCAGTATGAGGCCTATCATTTCAATTTCAAAATGGCCCTTCTTTCCACCTTGTTGTTTTTCTGCCCTTTGCCTAAACTTTCGTAAATACATCTGTTGCACTCATGAACTTTAGAGCCGTCCGTAGCGCCTCTCGTCTCTGACTCTTGAATCTTGTCTCTGCTCCAGTTCCTGTCCACTGTCTGTGACCCATCCGTGGATGAGTACCTAAGGCCTCCGCCTATCTGTTCCTCGCGCTCTCCATTACAGCTACACATGGAACGTCAGCCACTTAAACTATTAGCCGCAAACGTCCGTGCGTGGGGTTTCTTTCAGGTACCAACAGATTATCAAACTGCCGGACCACATGTTGCTTCGCGGCAGACGGCATGAAGCGCCCTGCAGCGACTTGCTGAACTGCTCCCAACAGGGATTTGCTGTGAAGGGTTTCGCTGTGGAGCGCTTCCCAAGTCCGTTGGCCCATTCCGCTGTCCTTTGCGTTGTATCTTTGGTATTGTCGCTGACCTCAAGATTTGTTCGTGCGCCCCACACCGCGTCATCAGCTAAAACCTCCACACGACATGACTGTAGCCTGATAGTGCCCAGGCCACACTCCTGGGGGTCAAACTTATCTTACCACCAAAAGTGGAAAGAGGATGTCTTTGTTCTGCAAAACGTTGTTTGTTGGCCCCGCATTTCCTGCGCTCCTTGTTGTATGTACTGGGCTCTGTAGGTCAACCAGCTGATTGTTTCACTGCATCAGCTGCTCCTGTCTGTTGACCGACCAGGTTCCGCTGGTGTTCACTAAACCTACGGCAACACAGAAAGAGTGGAATGGTACTGGTCGCTTCAAGACCATATTTTGGCAAAAGGAACCACAATGATCACTTCTATTGATATTGAGGTCTACTGTGAATATCCATTACAACTTGAGCGAGGATCCCCGACTGCTCAGGGACTCAGAAGCTGGCGCAATCCACCGCTCCACATCCGACACAGTTTTGGGGAAAGCAGACACCTAATTCGCGCCCTTCGGATCAACACCTTCCTCGTTATGTGGCTGGTCCAGGCCCTCCTTCGGATCAACATCTTCCTCGTCATGGAGCTTGCCCCGGTCACCCTTCCAGTCAAGATCATCATCGTCCTCCTCTTCGTCATCCAGTGTCTCCTCCTCCTCATTCGCCAACTGCCGGCGGAGGGCGTCAGCCAGCTGATGCAGCATCTCGTCGTACGCTGTTACTCTAGATATCAGCACCCAGTCTCTCCGCATCGTGTTATTACATACGATCGTCAATCAGGCCCTGACGCATGCGATTGACCAGGATTGCATTGTGTTCTTCCAATGCTTTGTTGCTGGCCTTCAAGCCGGTAATCTCCTCCTTCAATCCAGTAATCACCTGCTGCGACTCGGCGTCGCGAGCAGTCAACTCAGCGTTTTGAGCAGTCAACTGTCCAACCTGCTTCCGGCTCTGGTTGAAAAGCTTCCAACTGGGGTGGGAGCGACGCTTTGAGTCCGATGACGAGCTCGATTGGCGGAAGGCGACAGGTACAATGACAGGCTGTTCATCTGAGTGTCAGCGTGGACAAAGTCACCGCGCATGGGGCATAACTTACCTGCTGTCCATGCTTTCCGGTTGAGCGGATTCCCCGGAACAGCGAGAACTCTCTAGTCGCGACAGAGGCTGGCACGCACAAGAGGGGTAGCGCTCCGGACAGGCGCTGTGCGTGGCGGCGCAGCATTATGTTGCTTTGCTGGAGGGTCATTGTGGCTGGACTTTCGCTGTGATGAATGTGTGAGCGTGTTGTGGGGTATGTAGGTGAGAAGAGGATGGCGGTTGGGTAAGCAGGCAAAAGACTTTTGGCGCGGAGCCCACAACCCTAGGCGCCACCTAACCCTAGGTGCAGGAACCTCATGCCTGTGACATTCGGGCTTTCTGTTTCCTCGGTTATTGTCGATCGGCAAACGTTGCCTCGCCGGTTTTCGGCAACGGCGACAGCGTTGCCATGCCGTGTCTCATGCCACTGTCGTGTTTGCACACGCCGTTGCCCAGGCTTTGATGAGATATCACCAACAGCCATTGCGTCAATAGTGCCTGACACGTGCCCCTGTGTAGAGACAATCATGCACAGGATCATTCACCGCATCATCACCGGCGTAGCCATCAAGCACAGCGTGTATCTCGAGCCCGTTTACCATGAAGGCCATCGGCTGTGGTTTTAAGAGGAAACCGACATTCATCACGAACAGCAGTCTGAAGAAAAGCATAGGACGCGCAAGGTTGAGTACCTACAAACGCTCAACGACGTCAGCCTCAGACCTGCGCTTCCTGCGCAGATTTGGAGTCATGGTCGCTGTCTACGAACATATCTTCCCCGACTTCAGCATCAGAGTCATCCGCTCCCTCACCCTGGCGTTAAAAACATGCGGAATTTGAACTTGAACTCCGCCCGGAATGTCATCCAGATTGGAGTCTAGAGGACCCCGCCATTGCTCATAACGTTTTACATTCAGCACGGTAGAAAGAACAGACACGCGTTGAGAGTCAGCGACTTTGGAGACCCTAAAGTAGATACTCACAGACAGGGGTGCCAATAGACGGGCCGGCCCGCAGGGCAAACGAGGCCCCACAACGTAGGATGGGCTGTGGCGCGTGTCGCGCTTGTCGGATAGGCTCCGGACGATGTTGTCAATGTCTGGATACCTGACAGGCGCCTGGGGGTGCCGGGCCGTGCCCCTAGTCCCCTAGGATGTCTTCATGTGGTGGTCTCATTTCCGCGAGGGAAAGTTCACAAGGAATACCCAGCTGACTGCTGATCACGTAATTGATAGACAACGACGGACATTATCAGTTCAGAATTTCATCCTGGTGAGCTCGCATCTTGACGTGCGAGATGGATTCTTTCTGAGCATGATGATTTGGAAACACGGGCGGCGAAGATGGAATAATCGGTGGTTGTTCGGTAGAGCGATTCCAGATCGTTAGGGGCGCAGTTTTTGGTCTTCTTGGAGTTCTTTTGTTTTTTAAACAATGGTAGATATTCGGGTGCGGTGCCTGGCGGGCCCAATGGGTGCCCACATGTCATATTCCATCCGGCGCCCGTGGGCACCTGGATCTCAGTCTCAGCACCTTGCGCGGCGCCTTGTAGGTCCAACGGCTGCGAAGGAGCGCTGAGGGGGGCGGGAGCGGGTCCTGGAGGACGCCGTTTTGTCCATGTCTGAACTAGTTGCCAACCAACAAGCACGGCGATATTGGCAATTGATTTGAAGGCTTTACGAGCAGCGCTAGGTACGTAAATCCACCATCTTAAGGCGTAATGAGCAGTGGCCAGGAGCAGTTGCTGATAGCACTGTGCATTCAGGCCTGGTCAAAGAAAGTATCTTCAACGCCTTGAAAGCCTCAAGAATGGCTACTCACAGGCAAACCATGGGGTAGTACAAGGTTGTCGGCGAAGAGGAGCCGGGGGTTAATAGCGAGTGTGGGAGCACATGTTGCCCATATCTCCACCAGTTAATTCCAGCACGCACGCCAGCATCCTGAATGTATTTATGGCTGATGGCTGCGGTTCGACGTCCACACAATGATCAAATAGTGCCGGGGGGTCACCTCCATGCTCTTCTACTCAGTTTCAACATCCTGGCGTGAACAGGGTGTCCCAACAGCCCATGAACAATCTGGGGTTCAAGGAAAGTCATGTCGTACGATCAAAACGCTTCTCGATAGGCATTGCACGGCCGATCGGGTTGCAGTCGTTAACGGTCTGTTCTCTGCATGAGGCTGCAAGTACTCGGCAAAGACTTTGGTAGACGCCACATTGATGCGATCCAGCCCATTGTGTGGAAGGCGTTTATATACACCCCACAGAGGATCCGGATGTGGCCGTGGTTAATGGACAGAGGTATATTGTTGAAGTTTTAGGCAGGCGGCCCTGCCTTGACTGTTGGGTTGACATACTGGGGCCCAGTCACGATGGAGCCTGGCCTGTTGACGTACTCCCGGCTCGGGTTCTCCTACGCGGCGAAGGAATCGACGAGCACATGACCGGTAGGCATCGCCCCTGGTTTACAGCAGGCTCCGTTTGCCGTTTTCGCAGTATCTGCACTCATCAGGTTGCCACGAGGCCTGGGTATGTCAGACTTTTAGGTCCTATCGTCACGTCACGCCAGGTGCCTTTGCACAGACAGCTTGGGTGTTTTGGTTCCAACAAGTAACAGCGAGTGGAATATCGCTCGAAGACATTCGGAGAGTGGCGGGTGGGATGATGAATTTAGTGGCAAGACTGCCTGGCAATGCTCTACGCTGGAATGTGTTGGCGGTCACAACGTTGCGTCCGGCTGGCCGGCAGCACTTTTGCACGGCCCG